AGAGCTTGAGCCAGTGAATGTGGTGATAACCATCCCTTGCGTTTTAACTTCTTTATTGTTTTACGAGAATGTAAATTTCCTCTTTCTTTGTAACTCTCTATTACAACGTCCCTTTCTTTTTGACTTTTCATATTTCAGAGTGTAAATTCTGTGAACTTTGTACCACCAAAAAGGATTCCCTTAGCCCAACATTAATCCGACCGTAATATGAAACGTACCCTTCCGTTACGCCAAAAGAAATTTTATGTTTGAGATAAAGGTCAAACATAAGAATACTTACACATTTGTAGTAACGGTAACACATAAGTTACCTTTAGAGCAATTTCTCGTAAGAACGTCCAAAAAATAAAAAAGGATGTAATACGAAATTTTGAACGAACGTTAAGTGTTAATTTTTTCGACTTACTCCCTAAACTATACAAAGCTCTGTATTCCCCATCCTTAAGTCCCCCTCCCTTTCGCTCGGTTAAAACTCCGAGACCAAGCACATTTGCCCGAAAAAAAATCAAGTATGCAGTTTGCGCAGTAATAATGCTAGTGTGTCCCTTGTGTAAGAGGCCGAGAGACTGGCGCCATATAATCTCAAACCACTCATCTCGCCAACACAAATTCTCGACCACAAAAAAGCCATCAAATGGTAACATAAAGTGGTAAACATTAGGACCACGTCATAACACAAACACGTCCAACGTGTTTATGCTCGGACAGTCTGAGCTCAGGTGAGTCATTTTTTCCTGGCTCGATCGCAAGCAAGGACCCGACGAACACGTTAGGTGGAGGGACGCGTCGTGTATGAGAGGTGTCGAAATAGTCCTTTGGCATAAATGAAGAGAGGGGGGGGGGAAGCGAGTGAGAGAGAGAAGGGGAAGGCCATGGCTGCCCGTTGCATTCTGTATCACAACCTCAACGTAATTCATTGCGACACCACCGACAACGACATGACGAGGTCGGCAGAGGAAAACACAACAACAAAGGGGACAGACACAACAAACACACACGCACCACGACAGTGAGGACCGAGGGCCCGAGTTGGAGGTGAGTGGACGACGTTAGTCGTACACGGTGGCGGAGGGGCTGATGTTGGACGAAAGGTAGTCTAAATGTTGCTGTATTAGTTGCCCCGAGGTTTGGAAAGAGGCGGTCTAGCCAGTTCATAATCGAGGTCATAGAGCGCAGAGTGGAGGACATGTGTTCGTGGCACTCACACCTCAACGTAATGCCATTGCTACCTCTATGCCGACGAGAAACGCGTAATCAAAGACAATACCTAGCTCATAGTGTCAGGGACCCCGGTCAATTGCAACCTGGAATAAATAGTTACATATGAAATCAATTATCGGGGACTATAGTACTATCGATTGAAAGTTGACAAGCCACTAACTCAATCGATTTAAGACATCGTTGCGGACCAGTGAGTGGTTCTATCCCGATGGGTCAAGAGGTGACCAAGAGGAGTGTGGTGTCGAGTTCCAAAGAGGACTACCGGCATGAAAGGAAGATTAGGAACCGACAGGACCAGAGAAACCTGCGATCGTCCGAGTATTAATATTTCCAACACCAGCAGTATACGTAAACTTATAAGTACAAGTTAAGAGACACAGCTTTTAAATCGTAACAAATAATTATGAATGTGGCGGCGAGAGGGGGAACACGCGGGGGCACAATGCAGTGGTGCGGCCCTCCAGTGCACGGCTCTTAAAAAATACGCCCTTCACTTTGA